TGGGTTATACTCTTTATTAATATTAATATGCCATTTCTTTCCTTGGACAACCAAAATAGCTACACATCTGGAGGGAACCAGTTTGAGAAAGGCTGCCTGAAAAAATAACATATCCTACTCTGAATGCTTTTATTATTGATGGAACAGTAGGAGAGCTAAAGTGTTTCACTCCTTGGCAGATGATAGTACCTGCAAAAAAAAACCCTCATCTTTGCTATACCTTATTTGAGTGACTATATTTTCATGGGACATCCTGATTACTGAAAGTATCCATTGGTTGATAGAAGTAGGGGTAATTTCCACCAGATTCTTCGGATGGAATTGAAAGCTGATTTCAGTTTATTAAAAGCAATGAATGAGGAGCTGTCCCTTTGTATATTTTTCTGTTAAAAATTGCAAGATCAATGGTGCATTGATCCATTGTAGAACTATCCTCTATAAATCATACTTGGTCATCCGCCAGGAATTTTTCCAGTTTCAGCCAGTCCACCAGCAAAGCAACATATAGCTAATTGAGTATGCTCATTATTCAGATGGTAATGTAAGGGATGTGTACCATTATCTACTTTGGAGATGGAGCAGACTAGTTCCAGTGGCTTGGTGTTCAGAATGTGTTTTTGACATAGATAAAAAGGGAGATCAGAGCAGAAGCCCACCAGTCAATATTTTTAATATAGAATAGTATTTAGTCACTTTCCCATACTTCAATTGATTTAATAGTTTCAGGATCTCTCACTGAGGGATAGGGGGCCATGGAGGATTGCTATACTCAGTCTCATTCAAGAGGCTGGGAGATAAGGAAACAAGCTCTAAAATGTGCTACAAACTCCTATTTGGTAGCTGGAATCCTAGTCTCCAATTGTTGGTCAATCAATTGGATTTTTATTGTGAAAGCTTGCTTAATGTATCAGCCTTAAGGGCTATTTTTGTAATTCTCCCCTGACAGAAATGCATTCTTGGTCAAAGCATCAAGGGATATCAGTAGATCTTCTCCTAGCCCAAGTGGGAGATTTTAGGAATAGTTGGTGCTTATAAGATTTTGATATACAACAAGAGCCTCTATTGGCTCTAGGGTTGATAGCAGATGCTGCCAGAATTTGGAGAATTCATAGGGGACCATTTAATCCTGTGGCTGATTTGAAAACCATGGATACCCTCCTGGCGCCCAACATTAGCTGAATGTGATAGTTACAGTCCAGGTGAAGCAATAAATGAAGATGGTCAGCCTGGCTTAAGTCCAGGCTGACCATAAATGTGTCTTATTAAGTAAATCCTGTGATGTCAACATAGAGTTGATGATGCATAACCTCTGGGTATCCCAATATGTGAATTTTCCCTCTGTAACATAATTCACGACACCCATTTAACATGCAGAGCTGAAGGCCCCTATGTGCCAAGTGCCAAGAGTTTTCAAGTTCCTGGAAGCTCTTATTATTATGGCTTGTTATTACCTATATATCCCTCAGAGAAGAAGAATAACAGAATAATGGGATAAGAGAGTTGGAAGACCATAGAGGTCTTTTAGTCCAACTGCTCAAGCAGGAGACCCTATACCATTTCAAATGAATCTCTTCCAGTGATGGAGCACCCACAACCTCTGATGGCAAGCTGTTACACTGATTATCGTATTTTTCGGACTATAAGACGCACCTTAATTTTTGGGGAGGAAAAGAAGAAAAAAAGAATTCTGCCTCTGCCTACCAGCATCGGGATCAGCGGCGTCCTCACTTCCATTCAGATTTTGATAACGAGTAGCACAGATCTTTTTATCTGTTTTAAACAAACCCTATCATTCTATGCGCATTTAACTGGAGTGGGTGGGATGGGGGATGATTTTCATGAAGAGGGACTTGGCACAGAAGGCTCCATTTCCAAGACACCCCCATCTTCCTATCTATAGCCGTAGGTGTTGAAAGCCTGGCATTCTTGCAGCAAGGCCCAATAGAGATGCAGCACTTCAGTCTTCCTGGACGCTGCCATCTTGTAAAGATGGTGCAGGGCTTCTTGGCAAGCCCCCTGCTCCTTTGCTGCCTCAGTTGGAGCCTGATTCTGGAAGCAGCCTGGGGAAGCGTAGAGGTTGGGACTTGATTGGTGAAGTGGACACTGTGCAGGGGGCATAGTCAAGGCGCTGCCATCCGAAAACACTGTTGCCGCGATCTCCGCTGTCTGGAGATTTACGCTGCCTCCCCGATTCCAAAAATGGGGCGTGCGGAGACAAAAAAAGACCATCACTTTTTCGAGTGGTTCCAGGGGGCGGAAATTGCCCCATTTTTGGAATCGGGGAGGAAAGCATTTTTGGGTGGCAGCGCTGCAATCTTCTCCCCGAATCCAAAAACAGGGCGTGTGGCCAGTGCTGCTACCTGAAAATGCATTCCTCCCCGGTTCCCTATGCACATTGCAGAGCTGCACACCCTCCTCCTCCTCCTCCGTAGACTCACCTTCTCTTTCCACCTGGGCCAGGACCAGAAGCCAACCGCTCTCCGGCTGGGTTGTCTGGAGAAGGGGCAGGTAGACTGGCTAGCCACCTTGCCTTACGCCCCCTGCACAGTGCCCACTTCACCAACCAAGTCCCAACCTCCACGCTTCCCGGGCCGCTTCCAGAATCAGGCTCTGACCAAGGCAGCAAAGGCGCAGGGGGCTTGCCAGGAAGCCTTTCACCATCTTTACGAGATGGCAGAGTCCAGGAGGACTGAAGTGCTGCGTCTCTATTGGGCCTTGCTGCAAGAAAGCCAGGCTTTCAACGCCTACGGCTATAGGTAGGAAGATGGGGGCGTCTTGGGAAAGGAGCCTTCGGTACCAAGTCCCTCTTCTGCCCCCATGAAAATCATCCCCCATCCCATCCATTCTAGTTAAATGCGCATAGGGTGATAGGGTTTGTTTTAAAAGGATAAAAAGATCTGTGCTGCTTGTTATCAAAATCCAAGTGGAAGTGAGGATCTCTGGTGCCTGGAACCGCCCGAAAATGCGATGCGCAGAGGCCAAAAATGTCCAAAGGGTGGGAGCGGGTGGGCGCGGCTACATTTGGAGTATAAGACACACCCAGATTTTCACCCTTTTTTGGGGGGGGGGAAAGGTGCGTCTTATACTCCAAAAAATACGGTAAGTGTTCCAACTGCCAGGAAATTTTCCTTATTTCTAGACTGGGTCTCTCCTAGACCGGGGGTGTCAAACTCAAGGTCCAGGGGCTGAATCCAGCCCGTGGGGTGCTTAGATCTGGCCCATGGGATAACCCTGGAAACAGCAAAGGACCGGCCCACAGTGTCTCCGCCAGCGGAAATAGAGCTCGGGAAGGCCGTGGGCAGCCCTCATGAGCTCCATTTTTGTTGGCAGAGGGTTGCAGGAAGCCGCCACAGCTGGAAACAGAGCTTAGAAGGGCCGCACATGGCCCACTCAGGCTCCGTTTTCACTGCCAGAGGGTTGCAGGAGGCCATTGCAGCCAGAAATGGAGTTTGGAAGCCAATTTTCTCTGGCAGCACAGGTGCCCCCGACACAGGTGCCCCCGACACAGTGATGTGAAGCTGGCCATGCCCACCCCAGCCCCCCGAGGTCAATCACAACCATGATCCGGCCCTCAATGAAATCAAGTTTGACACCCCTGTCCTAGACCCAGGAAAGGTCTAGTTTCATCCATTGCTGGATGGTCTAGTTTCATTCATTGCTGCTTGTTCTGCCTTCAGGTGCTTTGTGGCAGCTCCTTAGATATTGGAATATTGACCCTAGTCTTTCTTTTCATTAAACTGTACATACCCAATCCTGCAGTCATTCTTCATATGTTTTAGTTCTAATCATCTCTGTTGCTGCTCTTTGCAGTCTTTCTAAAATGCATCTGCTTGTAGTGACTAAAACTTGATGCAATATTCCACATGTGGTCTTACCTAGGCACTATAAAGTGGTACTAACACAAGAAATACTAGCCAAAGCAGGAAAAGAGTACACATCACTAAAATCACCTGTCACTATTAGAGCTAAATTTAAGTGTTCCCAATGGATTTAGAGCTGTAGTTTTTCAGGTTATCCCAGAAGATATTGCTGAAGCAGAGCCAGGAAGGAGTTAAACATTAACAATGCTCATGAAATTTAGAAATTTAGATAAACTATCTAAAGGACCATAAATTCAACAAGAGAGTTGACTAAAATTTGTGTAGCTACAATATAACATTTTAAAATGATAAATGAATTTTTGAGACTTATATTGATGTGGCCAAAAGTATTGGGACCCTTTGACCTATTTCCCCAAAATCCCAATTTGCTCTAAAATAAGTTGAAACTAACACAGGTAAATGTCATCCACTGTTCTTTGTTCCATAGTGCAGAGACTTTGCTTTTTCCTCCCTGGACATAGCTCCAAGAGAAAAATCAACCCCAGATTGAATAGAAGAATAGTTTCAATGATTGAGCAAGAAAAAAGATCAAAAAATTCCTGGCTAATCTCCAAGATCAAGATATAACAAGTTACACTATACATTTTCATCTGGCTTAAAGTAGCTTCCATGGTGGAAGACCCCACTTTTGATAGACACAAAAGAGCCATATTGGAGATTTCTAAAAGGCACGTTGACAGAACGCAGTCCTTCTGGGAGACTGATTTTTGGACAGACAAAATAAAATTAGAACTATTTAGTAAGTCACAACGGATATGTTCAAAGAAGAAAAAAACAACGCTTTTAAAGAAAAGAATGCCATCCTTAACGTGAAACATATAGAAAGCTCCATAATGTTACGGGGTTGCTTTGTTGCCTCTGGCATTGAGTGCCTTGAATCTGTGCTAAAACACAATGAAATCAGAAGATTATCAAAGCATTCTGGAGCGAAATATAATACCTAGTGTTAGAAAACTTTGTCTCAGTTTCAGGTCATGGGCCTTCCAGCAACATAATGGCCCAAAGCATACATTTAAGAGAAGCCAAAAATGAAAACCAACATTGGATTGTTTTAACCTGGCCTGTTATGAATTCTGATCTGGATTCAATAGACCAACTATGAAAAGAGCTGAAACTCACTGTTGGGAGAAGGAATCCTCTGAATATAAGAAAACTGGAATAATTTGCTCAAGAATGGGTCAAATTGCCAGGTGAGAAGTGAAGTCTCCTTCAGAGTTGCAGAAAGCACTTGATTGTAGTTATTGCCTCAAAAGGATGTACTACAAAATATTAGGTTAGGGTTATCAATAATGATGCATCCATGCCATTGTTTTTTGTTTACAAGAAACTTACATAATACTGATGATTTATATCTCAACTTTTTACCTAACAGGTATTCAATAATATTTTTCCATAATACCGGAACTGTATAGTAATGATATAGGAAGATATTTGTTTATGCATAATATACAGTATCTTTTAGCTCATTTATATGATGATATATCTTTGTATATGTATTAGATAATTAGAACTTACGCAATTTAATTTATCTTTGTCTCAAAGATAAAGAAGTCAGTTCTTGTCATCTCTATTTCTAAATTCCAATTTCATTTTGGATTTGAGGAGACCTTAGCTGGTTTTCAGAATTGAAAACAATGGTTGTAAATTACTTTGCTGCCGTTTTCCTCCAAGCTATGCTTTCTAATTCTATGATACAGAAAAAAAAACTATTTTGATTTTGTTCAAAACTAGAAAAGAGAATACGTATGGCCGGGGTGGGGTGGGGGGCAAATATAAAATTAGAAAGTGTATTCGTAATTGCCAAATCATGGTTTAGTTATTAGGAACTTTTGTGTGTCTGTGTCTTTGAATCAGTTTTTGCCTCCTAGTGACCATCTGAAGAAGTCCTTGCAGTTTTCTTATCAAGATTTTATGAACTGGTTTTCAATTGCCTCCTTCCTAGGGCTGAGAGAAAATAATTCACCCAAGATCTTTAGGCTTCATGCCTAAAGTTGGACTAGGAACTCGCAATCACCCAGTTTATAGCCTGATGCCTTGACCACTGCACCAAACTGAATCTCATTATGAACATATTATATTTGTTTTATTCAAATCACACTGGGTCTTTGTTTCCAGTCCCAGTACAAGTATTAAACAGCCTGCATATTGCAAAAAATGCAATAGTGCAAAAAATGACTACCCAGATGCAGGCCTTACAGTTTACCACCCTGAGTTGCTAGTTCAACTTAAATAAATAAATAAATTACAAAATTAATATGCATAGAAATATATCTAAAATCAGTCAATTTGAAAACAAGAATCATTAGTTAATATAATATGCTAATTATGAAATAAATAGAAACATTACAAATATTCCAGCTGTTGCTTTTATTGTTCTTATTATATATAATATATTTTATTATTCATTTTAATAAATCTTAATTTTTATTTTTATTTTGGTTTGTGTGTATGGTGTAAGTTGCGATAGGAATATCTAAATTAGAAGAGCAGCATCAATAATTTAAAAATAAATGTAAAATTCTGATATTTGTGGTTTGTTTACTTTTAACATTGTACACCAATGGTTTGTTCAGCAAATCATGGTTATTAAAATCATGGATTAGCATTAACTCTAAATGCAGCCTGTTAGACAAGGTTAAGATGAAAATGTACGCTTTACGTCAGTGGTTCTCAACCTGTAGTTTGCAGAGTTAAGTCTTGGTGGTCCGGGGTCACAAAAGATATTTAAAAGGGGTCCATGGTGAAGAAAAGTTTGACAACCACTGCGCTCTGTACTTGGAATTATTATATAATATTGTAAGTGCTATTTGTACAATGCGGTGATGTAAGCTCTAGTCCAGATGGAATCCAGCATGCTGATGTTTTCAAAGCAGCTGACATAACGAGGGGAAAGGAAAGAGTTGTCATGTTAAAAGGATCATCAATAAGTAACAAGTTTGTTTGTGCTGATGCAATATTGTCCCCATTCTCATATCAATGGGTACCAGATCTAGGATAAAGCATATATATACCCTTGCGTTCAAAAGACTGCATAACCTTGCTAATGAAGCAATAACATGCTAAACTTCACAGAACAGTTTACAAGAAGAAAAAAGAATACTAAGCAAGGTGCTTTTTACTCAGGGTCTGCTGCAATTTGTCAGCTTTAGCAACTAGTCAAGTATTTTCCAACTCTATTCATGTTTTGCTAAAGCCAGAATTAGGGTGGTTGGGCCCCAGGTTAGTCCTACAGAGATCTCATCCTGAAATATAGATGTCTTGACCAGTGGTGGGTTTCAAATTTTTTTTACTACTGGTTCTGTGGGCGTGGCTTGGTGGGCATGGCATGGGAAGGATACTGTAAAATCTCCATTCCCTCTCCACTGCAGGGGAAGGATATTGCAAAATTTCCTCCCGATCAGCTGGGACTTGGGAGGCAGAGAATAGATAGGGGCGGGGCCAGTCAGAATTTTTACTACCGGTTCTCCGAACTACTCAAAATTTTCGCTACCGGTTCTCCAGAACTGGTCAGTACCTGCTGAAACCCACCTCTGGTCTTGACCCCTCAGTATACCAATACAACACAGCTAAAATTCTCTGAACTGGAAAGTAATTAATCTTTGCAAAAACATTAATATTGCAGGCCACCCAGACTAATAACACTCTTAAATACATTTATCTACCCAAGTTTGTTTAGATTATTACTTTTTGGAGCTATGATACTAATCAGATAGTGCAGAAAGTTGATAAGGTATATGGTAAAGAATGGCATTAATGCCTTCTGACTGTACAATCAAAACTACTTTATTTCATAGATAGTTGAGTGTTCAAAATCACTGTCTCCAATTTTCTTTTAGAGTATCCACAATAGGAATTTGATCTGAGAAGCTTATTCATCATCCATCTGGACTGTGATTTTTCCCCCAGCTAAACAACTTGTGGGGAAAAAGAATTTTCCCCCAAATTAGGGAAGCAGTTTGGTGTAGCAATTAAGGTGCTAGCCTAGAAACCAGGAGATTGTGAGTTCCAGTCCTACTTTAGGCATGCAAAATGCATGGCTGACTGTGCCAGCTACTGTCTCTCAACCCAACACACTTTGGGTGGTTGTTGTTGTGGGGAAAATAGGAGGAGGAAGGCGTATTGGCATGTTTGCCATTTTAAGTTGCATATCTTTTTAAAAAGGCAGGATAAAAATCTAAACAAGAATAGCTATTACCATTTTTTAATACCAAATAGCCTTAGTATCTTCTAAACATTAGCAACGAAGTGTAGCAGAATTTTCTCTAAAATTAATGTCAAAGAATGAGATCTGCTTTCTTTATAGCAGGAAGAAATATTCTCGGTGTTCTGAAAAATGTGAAAAATATATTATTTTTAAATTATGATTTTTTTTATCATCCTCTGCAGAGTATTGGGAAAGGGTCTTTATGGTGTATAGACCCAGAATATAGACAAAATCTTATCCAGGCTTTGAAAAAGACACCCTATCACCCATATTCCCATGTGTTCAGCACACCTCCAGCATCTCCTCAGGCATATCAAAGGTAAGAAAACTTGAATGTATCTTTATATGAACATGGCAAAGTCTGTAAATCAGCTGTGTACTTCAGGTTTGCAAGTCAATTCATCTGTTCAAATATGTTAAATCTAGAAGGAATGTACACATGCAATTTTTAAATAAGTAAAATATAACTAATGTATGATAAGTGGCCAAAATAGGAATGGCTCAGACTGATAATTTATTTCCTTCTTTAGTGTCCACTACTGCAAAAATCAAGATCCAGATCCATTTTAAAAAAACATTTAGTGGTTAAAGGTAAAGGTTCCCCTCGCACATATGTGCTAGACGTTTCCGACTCTAGGGGGCGTTGCTCATCTCCATTACAAAGCTGAAGAGCCAACGCTGTCCGAAGACGTCTTGATGGTCATGTGGCCGGCATGACTAAACGCCAAAGGAGCACAGAACGCTGTTACCTTCCTACCAAAGGTGGTCCCTATTTTTCTACTTGCATTTTTTACGTGTTTTCGAACTGCTAGGTTGGCAGAAGCTGGGACAAGTAACGGGAGTTCACCCCATTACGCGGCACTAGGGATTCGAACTGCTGAACTGCCGACCTTTTGATTGACAAGTTCAGCATCTTAACCACTGAGCCACCGCATTCCAAAGATTTAGCGGTTACCTTACCATATAAGCTTTAGAATGTATTTAAAAGAATAAAATAGCTATTGGCCTCACAATTCTAAGATATCTCCATACAAACCGGAGGCAAAAATACTGCCCTGCTTTTGCCCCAAAGGTGCTTTTTCAAAAAACAACTGGACTTTGTTTTTCCTTGAAGACATTTTGCATGTGAATGCAAAAGAAAAAGAAAAGAAAAAGAAATGCAAAACGTCTTCAAGGAAAAACAAATCTAGTTGCCTTTTTAAAAAAATACCTTTGGGACAACCATGACCTGGATGACTAAGAATCTCCATAGACATACTCCCCTGCTTATGACAATCCCCAAGACACAAATTAAAAAAAAATAAAATTTTGGGCTTGCAGTCATATCAAATGTTGTTCCCACCAATTGATGTTCAGAGTAAGGCTTATTCAGCATTTTTCTTTGAGTGTATTCAGCTACCTGATTACATTAAGTGGTCCTCTCAAAACTATGTGATAATCAACAAAAACTAAAGCCTGCCAATCCCAGTCATGAATAGTTACATTAATTATAAAAAAAAAAGGTAGGTCCCCACCTGTTGCCAGACCATAGGTATTCTTACAGCCCTAGTTTGTACTATAGAATTTCTTACCAGTTTTGATGAAAGTCACATGTCTGCTGCAATTACTTACTCTATGTTGCACTGCTTCTGTAATTATTACCAAAAATCTCTGTCCTCTGTCCTTGTGTTAGAAGCTGTGAAGTATGAGAAAAGATTCCAGCTTTTCATGATTTGCTTTCATGAGTGGATAGATTGCTGCTGAATCTTTGTTTCTAATGCTAAGTTTGGAAGATTGCCTCATATAAACTTTGGCTTCCAGGTGATGAAAGTATGTGTTTGTTTTTTTAAACTGCTGCTGTTGTGGTTACCTGCTCTGCAAAGCAAATGTGAGCAATTATGTTAGTTGCCATAGTGCTTTTCTGTTTGGTAAAAGGGTCAGTTGGGTCTGGTAACTTTAAAATGGCAGGAAATAAAAAACCTTCATGGATGAGTTTGCCTTTTTGTCGTACTGCAGTGGAAAAAGGGTACGGCAGATGTAAAACCTGCCACATTTCAAATCTGCTTGAAAATATATGATTTGTTACAGGAAGTTTGGAATCCATAATTGCTGCAGCACTTAGCATGATGTTAGATAGCTATAAATAATAAATATTTTGTGAAATCTGTATAAAATAGAGCCATGGCTTCATTTTTTCCTTAAGTACAGACATTAGTTACACAAATGATTGTCTGATAGCAATTTTTAAATGCTTACTAAGATTGAGATTTGGGAGTGCAGTTGCACCCTTTAGTTATAATACTCCTTTAAGAAGTGGCAACTTGCAATGTAATTTCATTCTGGTAACTCTAATAAAGTGCCTGAGCATCTCTGCTGAGCCGTGCGTTCCATCACATGGCCCAAACAATCAATCTTCGGGCAGAGATTGGGAAGAACAGCTGGGCTTTTGCAGGCAACGGCTGTATGTCTGCCCTTGCTAGGCGATTAGCGTGATGGTAACCATAGTAACTAGAAGGCCTCCATAGCAACGCATAGCTGAGACAGGTGCAGTTACATCACAAGGCTGTTTGTTGCCTGGCAAAAGGACAGGCCATTAGTACTAAGACATGCACTGTTGCCTTGGTAACAGATAACCTTACATAGAAACTACAGTGGGTTTGAACATTTTATCATCCTGATTAAAAAAAAAAGGGGGGGGGGAGAGACATTTCATCTTCTTTTCCTTATTTTTAATTTAATTAATAACTCTTTATCTATGGTCATTTGAAGTTACAAAATGTTTTGTTGTAGTAAAAAAATGAAAGAATAAAGAACAGCAGTTGAAAGTTTTTGATAGCTATAGCAGCTTAAGAATTGATAATAACTTAAACACATTAAAATTCTAATCTACATTGTCTTCCTGATCAGTGAATTCTATAAGGGAAAAAAACCTTTGGTTTATGCTTCATTCTGTATTATTCATGTATGAACTGGGAAGCAGATTCGTTCTCCAAATGTGCTGGAATACAACTCAATAATTCAACTAAATCCAGAGATTCACTGGCTTGGAATTTTGGGAATTATGAGCTGCTGCATTTGGAAACAGATTGGAGGAAGGCTGAGCTAGCTAAATATTTTGTAACTTGGCTCGCAAACATACTGGGCGACATTATATGCTTCAGCAACAATAACCCCCTTCCGCAAAGCTCTTGTTATAGGTGCCATTCAAATATTTATTTTGATTTTTTCCCCATTAACGGCAGAATACAATTGGACATGCGAGAGAAAGCTTCAGATAGTCTACAATGAAGGGCCATTTTGTCTTTGCCAGTGTACTGTAGATACCATACTTGGTGTTATCTCAGTTCTTAGATGCAATAGTGTAGCAGTAATGGTTTAGAAACAGAGTATCCCCCCCTCCCCATCCTACTAGTTCTGAATGTTGTAGTTTCATTCTACTTTTTAGTATGGGAAAAGAATGGAATTCAAACAATGTGACCCTGACTCCATACACAGGTTTTCTATGTTTATTTGTCTAGGTTTGACAATATGTTTCAAAACAGCATTTTAATGTGTTTCAGAATTACTGTCATTGAGACAATTGACATAATGCATTTTACGTCAAAGCAAATATTGCTTTATTTAAAAGCTATACATATCAGCATATTTACATTCTTAGAGAAGAAAACAATGTGGTTAAAATCAGTTCAGTTAAGAGATATTTGCTGATACATTAACCTAAACATTAAATTATTGCTTGAAGTTTCTTGGCCAGGCAGATCTGAGGAAATGAAATGTATCAAGTCTGGATCCACAAAGTTTTCTCGAGGGCCAAAGACCTGTGACAACTTTCACCCAAAAAACAGAGAGGAAGTTGTGCTCCATTCTAGTCATACTCCAGGCTGGAACTTGCCCTCTTCCAGGATACTCTATTTCCTGGCTCTTTTGAGGCTTCCCAATCAGGAGTGAAATGCTCCCGGTTCGGACCGGATCGCCCGATCCAGTAGTGGTGGCGGCGGGTGGTTCGGAGAACCGGTAGCAAAAATCCCTGCACCCCCACCCCCACCATGCCCAGCTGAGCCGCACGATCATCAGAGGCTTTTTTTTTTTTTTTGTTTTTAAAACATTTTTTCCACAAACTGTTTCGTAGGAAAAATGCTTTTAAAAGTTAAAAAAAAAAAAGCCTCTGATGATCGCGCGGCTCAGCTGGGATCGTTAGAGACTTTTCAAAGCATTTTTTTTACCACCTCTTCGGCCAAGAGGTTGCAGAAAAAAATGCTTTGAAAGTTGCCTGATCGTCAGAGAGGCTTTTCAAAGCATTTTTAAAAAAGCCTTTCTGACAGTCCCAGCTGAATTGCCTGATCGTTAGAGAGGCATTTTTTAAAAAGCCTCTCTGATGATCCCAGCTTAGTTGCCTGATCAGCAGAGGCTTTTCAAAGCATTAGAAAAAATGCTTTGAAAAGTTAAAAAAAAAAAAAGTTGGCCACGCCCACCCAGTCACGTTACCCCCCCCACTAAGCCACGCCCACAGAACCGGTAGTAACAAATTTTACATTTCACCCCTGTTCCTAATCCTTCACAATTAAATACCATAGATTTCGTGGTTTTAGGTATCCCATTAAATACTTTCTCCCACCTTTGCAAAGCTTGAGGCTCCCCCAAATTAGTTGAGCCTATCTTGGTATGTGTCATTTTGGATATTTAACAAACAGTATTTGAAAATTTGAGGTTGGTATAAATGATAGCAATTCTGTAGTGTCCATGTCTCGGTAATCACTTTACTTTCATGACTGTAGTGAAATTTGGAGTGCTAGTGTAGAAAATATTACTAACTTCTAGCTGATACTTGTTGCAGTGAATATATATTAAACTAATAGATGACATTCCACTTTGATGTTTAAATTTATAAAAAAATATAGCCTTTAAAGAGCTGAAATAATAGTTTATTAAACAACTGAAGTGAATTTTTCTATAAGAAAAATGAGAATAAATGGAGATGTAGTTTTTTTACCTGGATGGAAATTACTTTCATTTGTTTCTTACAATACTATAGGACCTTTGACTTGTATGGTAAAGTTGTCCAAAAAAGAATCTGCCTTTAAACTGAAGATATAGGTATTCTCTGAAGCTGACAAGAATCTGCATCTGATTCTTCCTATGCAATATATTAAAAGCAATAATTTAAGTTTCTGCATCTCTGTGTAGTTCCTTTTTAGTTTTGCACTGTACAGTATGCTTTTTTTGTTCATTAAAAGCAACAATAATCATGTTGATCTATAAGAAAAAACCCAACAGCCACAATAGGCCAATATCTTTCTGAGAACTAACCAGAATGGCACAACTGTTTTCCTCACTGGGCAAGATATTTCAAAATGCAAGAGATGGGGAAGAAGAAGAAAATCTATATTTCTAAGAATTTGTTTAGTTGTCATAAGACTGTGTTTTGTTTGAAAATATGCCAAACTCCCAATAACAAAATTCAAAGTTTAGCTGAGGAGTTAAGAGTAGGAGCTAAAATTCCTGGTGAATAGCATCCTTATCTGTTTCCTTCTGGTAAATGTATGCTATGTGATTGGCTGTGCCTGTTGTGTTAAATCATTTGTGAAAGAATAATCATAAATGTTCCAAATGTATCCATTGTCTCAAGAAGATTGGGGAATTTGGATGACAAATAGCAGTTGAAGGGAAAAAATATCTGATCTTTCCAGCTCTGAAAACACGGAGGCCTTAGTCCCTCCTGGTTAATATTGTAATATTTCTGCATTCAACTTTGTTGGAAGTATTTTGAGGAAGATAAATTGGGGAAAAAAGTTTTAAAAATTAAAGTCTTTTTTTCCTCTCACCTGGGAAGCTTAATCAGTTCTTATTTAAAATACCAATAAAGCATTTGAAGTAGAGTATTGGATTAGCTCATGAATACAAAATACACATTGCTGAAACTGTTCCTATTATATAAACTATTGGGAGGTCATTACAAGGCACTGTTTGAAGTTGAAAGCACTTCATGAAATACTACCTGCAATTTCTTAAATAATGGTTTTGCATATATATGTACCTGAAGCATTCATTCTGTTCAGATTCTCTGTTGTTGGAAACCTGCAGAACTAGTTTTCAGAAGTGACTGAAATCTCCAAAAGAGAAAGCAGATTCTCTCTTGCAAGTCAGCATTTTGTAATAAGACTGTGATTTTACGTGAACAGATGCTATCTTCAAGGAGAAATCAAATGTCAGCATTCCACTGCATTCCCCAAAACGCTGGATCTTGCTACATAGTTCAAACTACACGCAGAATGGCTTTAACTCTTCCAGTAATAAAAAGCCTCTAGGGGGTTGGATTAAGAGAAGGAATTAGAAGATTTATACAGCTTGTCTGGCAGGAAACCACAGAGGGAAAGTGACCCACTGTTCATGTCTTTCAAACCTTGGAAAGAAATGCATTTGCCGAGTTTGACACACAGTGTTTTAGAGCTTATTCTACTCAGTGCTGTTGCTGTGGTGCACATATTCTTTTTCAGTTACCTGGGATCTGGGTGTAGTATGACTCGAATATTGCAAGCTTCATCTGGTTTAATGTATGTTGTAATCTGAATGCAGTGCTGCTTATGTGTTGATTGCAATGGTTGCCTGTATTTTATATAAGATTCCAGTGCTATCAGGACATGCCAACTTTGGCCAGCTTTTCTTTTTGTATTATTTTGCTGATTCAACATCAATTTTCTTTATCAGAATAAGCATCTTTCATATACAAAATCAATAAAAAATAGAAGATATTTCCTGTAGGACTTTCTTTTCTTATTTTTCCTTAAGTAGAATTTCAAAAATATAGA